TATTTAAGGATTTTTCCATTTCTTCAATATCTGTTTTATCGTATGCATTTAAATATATAAATATGTACCAATAGGTCGAAATCAAAGCAATACCGACTGGCGCTTCTGGCAACGGCAACATCAAAATGAGACGTGGCTCATGTACGGACAACACTTCGTATGGTGGTGTTCCACCGCCACCGCGCCTAAACTACGAACCAACAATTAAAGAGAAAATGTGCTTTAAAGCCATTACATTCATGAAACCTTACGGCAATTATTCGTTTGAAGAATTACGCTTCAGCAGCCCCATACAGACGCGCGTCACTGAGACGCTGTATGCCCAAGACATGGAAGATGGCACATTTAGCGTACACTGGACGCCTAACTCAGTTGGCAGCTATTGTCTTACCGTCACCATTGATGGTATTCTGCTGGAAGAAGTATACCGGGTGGAGGTGAAGGAAGGCGGTTTGCCGCCACCCTCGCATAAACAAGCGCTGAAGAAACCGCAACCACCAAATAAGTTGCGGAAATTTTTCACTAAGAATACGGCGGGCTTGCGAATACGCTCACATCCCACATTGCAGTCCGAACAAGTGGGTATTATCAAGTTGAATGGCGTCATTTCGTTCATCGATGAGATTGAGAACGATGATGGTGTATGGTTGCGGCTTTCAACCGAGTCGATACGTCAACATTGCACTATGGGCTGGTATCCGACTGAAGCATGGTGTTTGCAATATAATCAGCACTTTGGCAGGACATTGCTGCATCCAGTCTCCGAGGCGAGTTCGAATAGTGCGGGAGCAAATGCGGCGGCAACTACTACTACAGCCCCTACCACTGCTGGCACGTGTGGCACAGATGTGTCGGTAGGTGTTGGTGCTTCCACCGCAATGCAGGTTGGTGGCAGCGGGGGCGGAAAGTCGCTGTCTAAGCCTCGCCACAAAGTTTTGCTAGAAAATGCTGAGTCGCCCGTTTCGCCGGTACCAATCGAATCACCATCGAAGTCGAAATCCACGTCACCCTGCAAGAAAATTTTCGACTTCTCACATGGGCGCTTTACGCCACCAAAGTCTTCGGATATTTCACACGCCTCAACAAATCCATTTCTGTTTCCGAGTGTTGAAAAATCTGAATCGGAGGACAGTGAAATACAAAAAGTGTTTGATATGCAATCTTCGACGCAGACGAGTACCACCTCATCGTCGTCCCAACAGCAGCAGCAACAAGCACAACAACAACAAGCCGATCTCTTGTCTTTACACTCATTACAAAACACAAGTCCTTCACAGATCGGGTCGGCCATTGCCGGTGTTGTTGGCGGTGGCGCCATTAAACTGCAAGCGTTACAAAAATGGTTTAAAGGCGATGCGTTGGAGGGCGCAGGATCTGGGGCTGCTGGTGGCGGACCACCCTCACCAGCTAAGGAACATCAGCGCAAACGTTCAGATGCCGCAGAAGGCTTGTCATCGGTATCGGTGCGGGAGTTAGTGCGTGTAATGGGCGGACAGCAGGATACGCGTTGTAATGGTAATACTACGCATGCGCCACAAAGTTCTAGTCCTGTTCAAATACCAGCCGCTAGCGGTAAGGGTTCAACAGATTCGATAAGCGTAAGCATAAAATCTACGGAGGCATCAGAAACTTCGGGTCTATTCAGTTCGCTTACGCAAGATTCAAGTCACTCACAGAAGAACACGAAAGAGGAAGAAGCTGTGCAGCCAGAAAATTCTACACCTACTTTTGATATATCTACGATTCGGGTCACCAGCTTCACGCCATCGCAAACAGCAGCTTTGCTTTCCACACCAAAGCATTCCCCTCGCAAATTAGTGACCAGTTTACGTCGCAATACATCACCTTCCAATCGCACTGTTGAGGCTACTGCAGCGCATAAGGAACCAGATTTGGCGCAACTTGAAGATGATATGAGCATGTTGCAGATTACCACGACTACCAATGGTGGCGGCGTGACCACGCAGGATCAGATCCTATTTGGTGAAATGAAGACAGCCAGCACAACCGCAAGTACGGACGATTCGAGCCCGCCCGTCTGGTCACCACCGTTAAATCAGAATAACGCTTCTCTTAATGCAGCGACTTCCACAACCAAACCGTCGCCCAATAAGCGCAGTGCCATTGGGCCCATCAAACGAGCCATGCCACCATCGTTGGCTGAAAGCATACGCGCGGTATTTGCTGCTTTCCTCTGGCATGAAGGACTTGTACACGACGCTATGGCTTGCGCTAGCTTCTTGAAATTCCATCCAACACTACCCAAAGAGGGCGCCACAGTTGTGACCAGGCGCGATTCGAAGGATAGTCGGCTGCAGTTATCACGCGAGCAAAAAGCACAACAGCGCCATTCTGTGGAGGTGGCTAATGCGGGTACATACTTGAATATCAGACCATCCACGCTGGAGACACTTACGAAGAGTGGAAATTCGTCGGTGAACAACCGTAAGCATCGGAAAAATTTAGCAGCCGCCTCCGGTGCTGGTAGTGGCGGCGAGGAATTAGAGAGTGGTGAGAAGCAGAAGTTGCACACGCTGTCCGAAGTGGTGACTGTGCTGCCGCCTGCGCTGCGTTGTCTCGTCTATCTGTGGGAGCAGGTGTGCACGAACTGCGTGCAAGTGATGCAATCGAATATAATGGAGCGCGAGAAGGCAAGCGGTGGCACACCGACGCGGGAGCCGAGCGCCGAAGCCAAGGAAAAGCAAGAGTCGAACGATAGAGACATGGTGAAGAAATCGCGACGTAAGAAAAAGGATGACGGTTCATGGTGTGAGGTGTGTGAAGTATTTTTGCCGATACCCGTGACGTATCACATGCGTATCGTACATCCTGGTTGTGGCAAATCCGCAAAGGGCAAAGGTTACAATTCGGTGGGCATTTTCTGCGAAGGCTGGGCCGGCAATTGTGGGGAAGGTGGTAAAGGTGCATCCAGCTGGTTTCTGATGTGCGACGAATGCAGAGAGAAATATATAGCAGCCAATAAGAATGTAAACAACGTAAATAGCGTACCGGGAGTGACACTTGCGGGTGAGAAAAGTTCAGAATTTGTGTTTGGTTTAATATTTTCGAATTGCCTTTTTCTTTTCTTCTCAGCGAATGAAATGAATTTATTTGGCGTAAAAACTACTACACTCATCGCGAATTCCGAAATTTATACAACAATGCGTGAGAATGCCACTTTCTTGCTGGAGCTCTCTTCAAGCGCATCCACTTTGAATG